GTGGGCAAATTGATGGAGCACGTGGTTCTCAACAGGCTTCAGAATTATGCAGAGGACAAGGCCATCTTTCCCCCAACTATGATAGGTTTCAGGGCCAATTTGTCCACACAGGATGCCATGATACAGTTAAAACATGATGTAGTCATTCCCGGGCATGGCACGGGCACCAAAGCTGTATTGGGGCTTGACCTGAATAAAGCTTTCGACAATGTTTCACATGAGGCAATATTGAATAATCTATCGGAAATTGGCCCAGGGGTCAGGGCATTTCGCTACATCAGATCATTCTTGGAGGGCCGAACCGGAGAAATTTCAATAGGAGATATCAAATCGGACTCATTCGCGTTGGGAGGCAAAAGGACGCCGCAGGGTTCAGTTTTGTCACCGTTCCTGTTTAACATCGCCTTAATTAAAATACCGCCGAGGCTGGAGGAGATACCGGGACACAAACACACATTTTATGCAGATGATATTACTCTGTGGGTAACCAGGGGTAGTGACGCGCATCTGGAAGAAACACTGCAACAGGCAGTTAATATTGTCGAAGAGTTGGCAGGGGAGGCGGGACTTTCATGCTCTCAGCCAAAGTCCGAGCTCTTTGTGGTTCGGGACAAACCCAGAGGGCTACATGCAAGACACTATATTCCGCCACCGCCGTTAGAGGTAACGGTAGGGGGTAGGCCGGTAGCTGAAGCTCAAACGATTAGAATTCTTGGCCTATATCTGCAAACTAACATGAAGAATAGGGTGGCCCTTGAAAAACTTAAGACCACGGTCAATGCTACTGTCAGGCTAATCAGAAGAATCGCTAACCGTAAGAGCGGGGTTAAAGAAAAAGAACTCTGTAAGCTGGTACAGGCGTTTGTGCTCAGCAGGATTACTTACGCGACACCTTATATGAAGTTGGGTGCCGCAGAAAAAGGTAAGGTCGAGGCTATGATCCGGCAAGCTTACAAGGCAGCGCTTGGGTTGCCTAACAACGCGCCTACAGAAAGGCTGTTAAAACTAGGGGTACACAACACCCTGGATGAATTATGGGAGGCGCATCTGGTGATGCAGCACGCTAGGCTTTCGATAACCAAAGCGGGCAGGATTATATTGGAAAGGATCGGCATTGGAGCAGAGGCTCCCACTGCGGACACTAAAATTCAGGTGCGGCGAGAGTTACATAAGGCCCTGTACATAAAACCTTTGCCCAAAAATATGCATCCGATTTACCATACGCAGCGCAGGCAGGCAAGAGCCAGAGCTTTACACGTTGAGTACGGCGAGTACAAAGCGGCAGTCTATACAGATGTTGCGGAATATAAGGACAAAGACGCTTTTGTGATTGTGGTGGTAAACAGGCGGGGGCGCTTGGTCGCCTCTGGATCGGTCAAAACCCGCTCCTCGGAAACTGCAGAGGAAGCGGCAATAGCGCTAGCTATAACTAATTCGCAGTCAGATTTGATTTTCAGTGATTTAAAGACAGCCATCCGAAATCTGGCGAGGGGCAGAATATCGGCGACCGCCGCACGATTTCTGCATGGGGCCACGGGACGAGAAGTGAGAGAAATAGAAATTGTCTGGGTACCAGCACACTCTGGGAACCCTGGGAACGAGGCGGCTCACCTGAATGCTCGAGGTTTCGTCAGCCGGGTAGGTGAGCCGCCAGTTCCGGGAAGGTCCGCGAGAGATGGGCTGGTGTCCTTTCATGACATAACGAATCATTATAAACTAGAGCGGAGGTTTTATCCGCCCCCGCACAAGTGGTTGACTAAGGCGCAGGAATGCGTCTGGAGAAAACTGCAGACGCAATCTTTTCCCAACCCTTACGTGTTGAACAAAATGTACCCGGAGGAGATTAAGCCACAATGCAAATGGTGTCAGGCTGTGGCAACATATGATCACATACTTTGGGAATGTAGCATAGTGCCGCCGCCGGTGGATATTATGCGTGATCCCTCTCTTGAGCACTGGGAGGCCGTGTTGACCAGCTCAGACCCAGTCGTCCAGTTAAGGGTCGTGGAGTGAGCCACACAGGTCGCCGCAACCTTGGGTTGATGGCCATATAACACGGAACCATCCTCAGTTGCTTTCTGACGAAATAAAGTTTTTCCATCCATCCCCATAGAAAGGTTTAGCGAGCGTTGAGCCGCAGTGCCATGAATACAATGAACTAGTACATACCATGAACTCGAGGTGGTTATAGGTGGGAAGTAGACCCGAAGTGCAAGCCGTAAGAAAGTGTGCGTGTGCCACCTCTCGTTTAGTCCTTAGAATGTCCGCTGGATGGCGGTGCTTCTATATGGGGAATATATGATGAAAAGATGCGAGATGGTGGTGCTTGAAGTGTTGAATGGATGAACGACCGGACACACAGACAGATGCATGGATGGACGCATGAACGGATGCAAGGGCGTATGCATGGACGAACGCAGGGATGGACGCGCGAACAGACGCACGTACGGACGGGCGGATGGACACAAGGACGGTCACACAGACGGACGCATGGATGGACGGAAGCAAGAACGAATGGACGGACGAATGCTTCGCCCCACTCTCCATCATTCACTCAGTGGATATGCTGCCATTTTTTTAAGGAACTGTGACAGCGTAAGTGTTCACAAGCCGAAAGGTGTCATCACAGTGCTGAAGCCAGCGCGTTAGCAAGGCCAATTTGGCGAGTTGTATTTCGTGAACAAAGCAAATGAGGACGTATAATATTGAAATCATGTATTGAGTGGCATAAGTGGATTTTAATAGAAAAGATTGGTTGAAATTGATACTGGAGTTTTAATTTATTTTCTTTTTCAAAAATAAGCTTTTTTGAAAAAACTACCTTCTTTAAGAATTTTTTTTATTCCATGCTGCGTCTGGGAAAACAGTTTTTTGCAGGTATTTTTAAAAGACATTGCTCAATATTGGTCGCTTTTTTTGATGTTCTCTTCGAGTCTAACAATGAACGTGACAAGGAGCATCAGTTATAGCAAACTTTTTTATTTTGGTTGAGTTTGCCGTTTGTATTTTTTTTTTCAGAATTTTTAGGTTCTGCAGACAGCTTAATTATGGAACGCATAGATGTAAATCCCTGTGATGCGTATTCAAACAAGAACTAAATGTTCAACACAAGGTTTGCAGTGCACAATTCGTCTGCGATATTGGGAAATCTTGTGGTATAAGCAATAACCAGACGCTCACGCCGCCACTTTCAAATATTTTTTTTTTCGCGTGCTGTGGTAAGTTTTTGGAAATGACGTTTTTGATTCTGTGCACTTTGAATATACCCACATAACATAATAAAGAAACCAGACAAAACTAAAATACCGTCCGGACATGCATGTTCGATCTTTCGTGGAATCATGGAGTGTGTGAAAAATTAGTTACGTGCAACGGTGAGTCTACGCACCCACCACAGAGTTTCTTAATATACACTAGAGGGAACTCTTGCGCCATTGCCTCTGGGAGTTGCAACGCATGACGCTTCAGCGAGCATAATAATGATGGGTAGTACACATATTTGTCCAATCTTCGCACTTCTGGCCTGCTTCTGGCACCATGTGTGTTCATGTGGCTTGGAGCTGTTTCCTCACGAAGCAAAACTCAGCAAATGTTCAGCGGTTGCGCTTCACCAACTTATTCTTTTATGCTTACCATTTCAATCGGGTCACGAAGTTCAAACGGCTTCGTTCTTTCTTTCAAAATTAAACCAAAACCAGCAATAAACGGAGCCGCAAGCGCGATTCGTCACCCGCAAGTATGAAAACTAGGCAGATCCGTGTACTAGCCATTATTCTCATTGTCGCTGAACGATCGCAGTGCCAGAGTCACCCACAGTTAATTTTAGGAAACTATATGGCACCAACCCTTACACTCTAAAAATTTTTCCAGGGCAACTACGCAGTCACCCCCCCCGAAAAGGGCTCTTCGCTCCTCCATAAAACGAAACGTGCACAAAAGATTGCACACGGCACGGCAAGAGGCACACTTTCCTCCTCGTGGAGTAAAGCGCCCGTTTTTTAGAGGAACTGCAGGAATGTTGGAGCCGTGCGCAAACCACCCGTGGGGGCCTACACAAGCCAGTTTTCTTTTGTTTTTCAGGCGGTGTCGTAGCGTGGTGTGGTGTAGTGGTTAGTGTACGCGCATGCTGACTGAGTGGTCGTGAGTTCAAATCCTGTGTGTTTGCTGCAAATTGTTTGAAATCTATTTCTGAATGTAATTCAATTCCATCGATTGTACGTGTAAAGTACATGTAATCATATGCTTGCACGCACCTTGAAGGCTGGTTAAGTCAAGTTGATTTTTCCGTTGCGCAAAATAACTGTTTATCCTTTGAGGAGTTACTCTTTTGCAGTTACTCCCAAAACGGTGCAATCTGTGTGGTAGGTTAGTTACTCCTCAAAGGAGCAACCTTGATACCCCTTTTCCTCCTTTACTTAGAGTGTACATAGTAACCATCTCGTGTGGTAACACGGGGGAACGGAAGTATGTGCGTACGTTGGTAACGAACCTCAATGCAGTTGCTCTCTCTCTCTCTCTCTGTCTTTGTCTCACAAGTCTGCTCCTTTCGTTTAAACAACCATTTAAAAAATACGCAACAAAAAAGAGAGGAAATAGCGTCACCGCAACGCACTTCCAACTTGCGATAGCGTACGCGGTATGCAAGGTGTCAGATAGTGTATCGAGGTGTTTAAACCCCAGTTTAATATTGGCGCCCTCTGCTATACGTGCGATGACACCTTAGATTCGCTCCCACTGCTGATAAATGTTTCCATTTACCGCTAAACAATTTGCTCAGCTGCAATGTATATTTGAAGCAACCGCGTACAACACAAGCATGCTACTTTCCTATAAATTTCCGCTACACGTGTTTTACAGCCTTATCGCACCTGCGCAGGACTCTCGCTTCAAGAATTGCGATGCCCTAGTTGTTCCAAGCATGTAATCTTGAGTCCGCTGTGACGTCACTGCAAAGGCGTGATAGAAACTTGAGCTCACCATTCAGCCTCAAGCGAAAACGTATAGCGAACAGATATGCAGCCGGCACTGTAACGCTGAAGATGTTTTTCTACACGCGGGAACAGAAGCACGGAACGGAACGGGCATGCAAAACCTGAGCTTTGCCTCAGGATCTGCAGAGATCGGTGCCCAGGTAAGAGGATTTCTCTGGTGTCCTTACTGCGCATGCTTAATTCTAGACGCCTTCCTGAAGGGGCATCGCTTGACGCAGGCGGTGTCATGACGATCGCGTACCAGGCCGACGTGTCCACGAGCACACTGCTGGGATTCTGGAAGCTGGTTGCCCGCTGGCGCGGCTCGGTCTACAAGCTCATCTACAAGGAGATGCTGGTGTACGGGGCCGCGTTCACCGCCATCGCCATCTGCTACCGGCGCTTCCTGACCGCCGACCAGAGGCAGCTGTTCGAGCAGCTCGCTCTGTACAGCGACCGGGCGCTCGAACACATACCGCTCTCGTTCGTGCTCGGATTTTACGTCTCCTTCGTGGCAGGCCGTTGGTGGGACCAGTTCACCAGCATCCCTTGGCCAGACAGGCTGGCGCACGTCGTCCTCGCGTACGTCTCGGGCGGCGACGAGAATGGGCGCCTGCTGCGACGCACCATGATGCGTTACGCCAACCTCAGTCTTGTACTCGTTCTCAAGTCGGTAAGTGTTTGTGGAGCCATTTGTTATCAAACTGATCGTGTCAAGTGATTACCGTAATGGGAAGTGGTTGAACGAAAGCAAAGGGATGGGACTAAAACAGTAAAGAAAGTGAAGCTGCTCACTTACCGAACAGCTTGCTGGTCGCTAAGCACCACTTAGTCATAGTTAGGGTGACCTAGAATAGGGGGAGTGTCCAAAGCACCACGCGAATACATGGGAGGAGCAAGGGCCTTTTGCGTTGAACTCCCGGATTCGTGGGCTTTCTCCGTGGTGAGAGCAGCATCGAAGCGGGGGGCATATGCTACGCGCCCGATATTTCGGCTGCTATTAGCCAACGTTGTGGTACTATGGGCAAGATTTATTATTGCATCACTCTGATACTATACTCACTCATGACACAGAGCACACGCTTGGTAGCTCTGGAGTGGGAATCTTGTAGTTTTTTTTCGGTTGTTTTGTGACGGCCATCATTCGCACTTGCGAGCCCGTTTGAAGAACACATTCTGTGCGACCATCGTGAGCGAAAGTACTGAATTTAGTTTCATGGGGAATGACTAGCGTAAAAGTGTTGCAGAAGTGAATGAGCTGCAGATCGCAAAGATCACCGGGAAAACTTGTGATGTGGTACGATATGGGTTTCGTAGCCGCCCCGCCTGTTCTGACCGTGTTCGGAACTGTCTCACCTGTGCGAGCCCCTTCCTCCCCCCATTATATTTAGTCTTTCTAAACAACAAGCTCTTTCTTCCTCGTCTTCAAACGATCGGCCGCTCCTTCCTATGCCCTCGCGGACTCACCTTAACGCGCTTCTTTACCCACATATACATGCACGCAATAAGTGGATATCTCGTGGTAGTGCGTTTTCACGCTTCGTACATTTTCTTTTACTTCATGCAATTTATTTCCTTAAATGGCAGCGCGCTGCTATTTCGATGATTTTCGTGCAAAGCGGAATTAATGTCTCCATCGGCGTGGTCACGGTGCCAAAAGTAAAAATTAACTCGCGTAACTCTCGCGCCTCGTTCACTTGGTAATGTTATGGTATCAATAACATCAAATGGTTGTGTTTTGCGTAACGTCTAATGGTAATAATATGGTGTGTGGAGCGCAAACTCACTTTCTTCGGCCAGAAATAATTCTGACGATGCGTGCTCTGATGACTTGTCTCTGCCAGGGATTGAAAACGTGGTGATCAGCAACACCAATTTCAACATTTAGAACTTACCTATACATTTGGAGAAATGACCGCCTAAGCAAAATACATACAAAATAGGAAACTCGCAAGGTCACTTATGCATTCGCCTAAGACGGTTTGATGGTGAAGACCCTGTTCTTTGTTGTCTTCCTTGACCCTCCTCTCCTTCTACCAAACGCTTTCTGCACCGAATATGGTTTCGCATTGCCCTTATGATCGCAGACATGACAAGGTTTACGCATGTCAGCTACTTGTACATGGCCTCAGTGATCGGGCCACGGAGGCAACGCAAAGCGACCATGTCAAGGGATGACGTCATCATATGACTCTCGCTTAATGACGGCATGATGCCATCACAAATTTTATCGGTCTGTGACATCATCACCTGATACTTTTTTTGCGTCATTCGTGTTGATGACGCAGGACGCTGGTGGTTCATTACCGCATTTGATGAGGCAGTTAAAGGGCTTTCACCTTAAAAAAAACACAGGACAAACTAAAGTAAATTATTAAAAGTGCACTATCATGTACTTTACTTCATGTTACGAGCCATCATTCATGTTACGAGCCATATTCATGTTACGAGCCATCACCCGAATACAAACGTGATAATGAGCTATATGCCCGTGGTACACAAGAGGCTTGATTCGCCTATTAGTAAATAAAGGACAGACATGCTGCGTCAATTATCGTGAAATGATTTAGCTGTGTCGCAGTACAGCGGGGCTTAAGCAAAAAAAAATAGTGTAAATGCCATATTGAGCTCATCAGGACAAAGCAGTAAATTTGATTCAGGTGTCCTGTTGACGCGCACTCGATTACCACGAGATTGCATGTAACTTCTCGTAAATATCTTTTTGTAAAATGTGAGCCGGGCCAACGCTAACCACCGAACACATTCAATATATCTGAAAGTAAGAATGTATTGTTTGAAAGTGTTTTTATTTTCTATGATGATTGCTTGAAGGAATGCCCGCGTCTCGAGGAAAAGTTTCATACTGACATTCAGTGACCCTTGGTTAACAAAAACAAATTAGACGCATGTACCTAGACTTTTTTAAAGTCTACGTACATACGTGATTATTCAAGACATTTTCTAAATTGGTTCAAATATTAAACTTTAACATTTGTAAACATTCCGGATTTTTGTTCAGGCAGCTATTAAACTTGTACAGCAGGAACAAGGGCATTTGCAACTTTCATTGTATTTGAATATTGGTAGAGAGTTTTTATAATACATTTTTATGTGTAAACATGTGAAGTCATGTAACATTACCTGAAAATAGTTTTCTTTCAAATGTCGTAATTTAACTCAAGTGGTAAGCCTTGCACGCTGCCTGAGAAGCGGAGTTGAACTAACAGTATTGCGGTTGTACGTTTGTCCTTATTTATTCATTTGTTTCCCTTACGCTCTCCTGATGTGCACGTTATAATAAATAGCAAACAAATTATCGAATCAAGCGGCATGCATATCGCTAGACCACAGGCAACCAGCAGCAATGGTGCTCGTCTAAGGCGGTGAGCGAAGCGGTCACTGCGCGTAAGTATTTCAGCTGCCTGCGTGTGTGATTTACCTGTTTTTATTACTCTTGATTGATTCCAGCATGCGCAATGTGGTTGCTCGATTAGTCGTGTGAAATTTTTTTTCGTTCCTTCCTTATGGCTGTTTATTTGGCGCGTTTTTTACGTACGCACAAACGCTCTTAAACACTGTCTATCCCACGCTGCAGCCGCTTTACACCCAAGTTTTTGCATTCTATTGCGGCCCCAGGCCAAACACAACGCTTAAAGATGGGCCATTTTTAAAGTTAAGTAGACTTCCAGAGCCCTGTGTGGAAACCCAGCGCCAAAAACGGCCGCGCGTATAACAGACGCCCCTCGCTTTCTGCGTGCTCTCGAGCGCGGAAAGCCCGTGACTCCGGGGCAGCAGCGGCGCGGCTTGGCAGTTCACCGCAAAAGGCCCACGTGGGAGCCGGCGCTTTAGACACTTCTTTTATTTTAAATCACTCTAGTCATGGTGAATAATGATTCCTTCGTGTTAAACGACGATTGAAATCATCGCTACCTGTTGCCGCAATTTCACAGTGGATAGGACCAGCGGGTTGTTCTCTTTGCGTCAAGTAGTTATTACTTATTACACTCGCTAATTTAAGCCTTGCAGCGAGAGTATGTGAAAGCCTCAAGGATGAACGGCCCTCGCGTAATCACGTTGATAGTTACTCTGTTCATTTTTGTCTTTCCTCTTGTTGTGATTATAATCATGTTACGCATCTGCAACACTGCGCGCTGTTCTCAACATTGAGTTTGAACACGGGTGAATTTCCACAAGCCTTTGGCTGTATGTATGTGCAGCAATCAAGCCTGTGTATGAGCGGCATAGCTAGTTGAAGATATGACGGATATGTCGAAAACTATCGAAGGACGTGCCCTGTTAGCTAGACTATATAGAACTGGAAAAGGGTAATTTCTAAAGGGAATATGGTGTGTCCTGAACAATACACGAGCCCATTTCCAGAGAATTCAGTGTTTGTCACGCAGGTGAGTGGCTCTGTGAAGAAACGGTTTCCTAGTACACAGCACCTGGTGGAAGCCGGCTTCATGACGGCCGCCGAGCGGTCCCTATACGAGGCGACGCCCAGCCGCACCAACCGCCATTGGCTACCGTCGGTGTGGTTCGTCAACCTGGCCAACGTAGCCGTGCAGCAAGGACGGCTCCTGCCCGGCCCACCAGTCAAGCACCTACTTGAGGAACTCAACCAGTTCCGTGCAAAGTGCTCGCTCCTGTGGTGCTACGACTGGGTCACTGTACCTCTCGTCTACACGCAGGTACAATTCAGCACTGACATCAAATTCACTCATGTCAAAATGTTTGCGTCAACAAGTAGCTATCGACACCTAGTAGCGATTCGTGACATAAAAAGCATCTGAGTGACGAATGAGTATCTTTAATATTGATTAATATATTCGCTATTGAACGCGGTTCAATATGGGTGGAAACCCGCTAAATTGTAGATTGATATGTGGGGTTTAACGTCCCAAAACCACCATATGATTATGAGAGACGCCGTAGTGGAGGGCTCCGGAAATTTCGACCACCTGGGGTTCTTTAACGTGCACCCAAATCTGAGCACACGGGCCTGAAACATTTCCGCCTCCATCGGAAATGCAGCCGCAGCAGCCGGGATTTGAGCCCGCGACCTGCGGGTCAGCAGCCGAGTACCTTAGCCACTACACCACCGCGGTGGGGCCCGCTGAATTGTAGAGCTGGTAGCACTACCTCGTGGCTATGTCGAGGCCGCTGCACAGCTGATGTCGCTTTCACAAAAAATGGGGACGTCACAATGCCGTTTCCAGCTGTGTCTCTGAAGGCGTAGACATGCCTTTGTCGCCAACATCGTCGTCCTCGCCGTCGTCAACATCGGCAAGTGATGATGACAGTGACCTGGAATCGGGTATCGCCGCGACTCGCGACGATCCTTGCTTGACAAGCTCCGCGTTAAATGCAATGTATTTATCAGTCCTGGCCGTACTGTCGGAGCTCAGGAACATCACCTACGCACCTCACGTCGCGGACGTTTAGCGAGTTAAATCGCTGCTTTCAGCTGCAGCGGGGCACATGGTAGGGATAGCCCCGGCCTCGATGAGAGCCCTCGTACTGCCAGTGAAACCCAACGGGTTCGCCAACACAGGAATTACTGTGTAGCAGCTCGCCGCAACAGCTCGCAGCAGCTCGCCTCGACATGCAGTTCTCACTACGCGGTTCTCCGACATTTTGGCACGTATTGTCGCTCTGGATGATCGTACTCGCACGCAGTGGAGCACAACGCAAATCAGTCGATGCGACACGATGAATCGCGCGCACGCTTCAACACAGCAAGGAGAGCTACTAGTGAGAGCATCACTGGGACTCGGCTCCGAACACACTCGGAGATCGTCGACGTCATCGCTACTAGCGTTTCGTCACTCAGTATGGTATTTGTGGAATGTATCACACCGAACACGTAGCACTAGTGTCGATGTCGAGGGGAGTCTATTTTTCGTTTTTTCTTCTTAGCTTTTCTACGCCGTTTGAAGTCGAAATAAAATAACTTCGACGTGACGGACGCCATTTAAATTTGACCACGAAGACCTATGCATACCAAGTGATCGAATGATGGGCACATCTCGATCTTCAAATCTGATGTCAATGCTCTTTTAAGGGTACGAGACAGGGAGCATCACACACACTGCCTGTATGTTGTTTCCCGTCTTCGTCCTTTGAGTTCCGCGCTTAAAAACACATGAATATGTTGCTCCAACAAGGCCAGAAGTTTACAGTAATCTTCGGGTTTCAACAGTCGTGGTACTGCTGAATATTGGCGTATTTCTTCAAAATATGGAGTTGTTCCGAAAAGTATGTAGGCATTTGATTGTTGAGATCGACAGATTTCCAATTCTTCAAGTTATGCTGATTTGTTAGATCGAACGGTTGACTGTAGTGTGGAAAGTATGCGAAGAAAATATTTAGATGCTGACGGTAGGCGGTAGGGCGCCATGTGTGTAACTAGAAAGACACAGTGTACGTGCGCACTAAAGGCTGCCAAAGGCCGATCGTACGAACTGTCATTCATGGTGGCATGTTCTCCGTCATGTTTTATGCTCACTTTTGATACCAACCATTTCTTCCTTGCAGTGTGCACATTCAGAAGCTAAACTTGTTTCTTTATCAGTCTTTACACATTTCCTATATTTAACAGAGAAAATGAGGGTTGCCGGCAGGGGGGACAACTTGTGTGTCCCCCTCCTCTCACCACACCACACAAGCAGCGATTCAGCACAGGTTTGCACCCGCCAAGACGAAGTATTGCCGACCATATCGTTGGCACTACGCCGAATACTGTGACGACGTGGTTATTTATTGCTCACCCAAATATCTAAACACTTTTTTGCTGATGGCAATTTTAGCATTACAGAGTATCGTATGGGTAAATTAGCCAGAAAATATAAAGAGGACCAATGAAAAAACTGTGGACTATCTCCCCTAAGGGAACCCTGATAGGATGCGAAGCAGCAGCGGTGCACATGGCATTGACCCGGTCGACACGTGTCGACGCGGGTGGATTGCCTCTTCCTTGGATTGCGTCTCGTCGGTGTTACCCGTGCGCCGTCTGTATTCTCGAACACGATCGGTGTTCTTGACTTACACTGCGTCGGTGTCACTGGTCTTCCACTGCCGACGCTTGCGTTCGGCTTCCCTGGCTCGCGCCTCATCGGTGTTGACGTCGCCATTCGCGAAAGCGATCGGCTTCGCTAATCCTCGCAACGCAGGCGACAGCTGGGAAAGGTACGCGCACACAAGCGGGAGGCATGCCGCGACGGTGCAAGCAGCGGCGCGCGCACTGTACACAGAGGACTCGAAAATTCTCAAGCAAGTATTTAGAGAACAGCAGAATAGCACGCCAAAAGAAAACATTGGTTAATAAGAAGGTGAAGAAAACACCGAGGGACATTTGGAAGATGGGATGCTTACGAAATCATCACTGGAGACCTACCAAACTTTTAAGCAGAAAATGGCAAGGGAAAAGATCTACGATAATTGTCGGGGTAGTTCTCTGCTCTTCGAGGCTATAACGGGAGTATTGCGGACCAAGACGTACTGAGCAAAATACGAAGGCACAGGCACGGTATGCAGTACGTGTGGAGCGGAGGAAGAAATGGCTGAACATTTGATAATGTTCTGTAAAGGACTCCACCCTATAGTCGAAGATAACGGCGCCAAATTTTTCAAAGCATTGGGGTTTAGAGACAGTGAATGCAAAATAGACTTTAAACGGGTAGAAACAACCAGGAGGAAGCTGACTGATTGGCGGCTACATCCGAGGCCGCCAATCAGGCAGCTTCCTAAACTAAATCAAAAATATTTCTGAATGAAAACCTAACAGCGCAAAACAAACAGCTTTTCTGGAAGATGAAAACAAGAGCAGTTGAACGAGAATATCAGTTTGTGTGGCATAAGAGTGGTAAATTGTTTGTTCGCCGTAGCCCACGCGATCGTGTAATTCGGATTATCACGATGGATGACCTCGAAAAGATAAAATAGGGCTCTCATGCATGCTGCTTGTCATTGCACGTGACGTATAAAAATGGCAAGGTTCAATAAATATTATGATAAGGACGCTTTTAAGGCTTCCGCCGCATCATGCTCTAGAAACGATTTGTCTATTCTGCATTTAAATGCGCAAAGCTTGAAAAGTAAGGAAGAACGCGTTTGCATGCTCCTTGATGATTTTAAATACAACTTTGACATTTTAGCCTTTTCTGAAACATGGTTCACCGATGAATATGAGGTACAATTCCCAGGTTACAGATGTACAACCGTATCCAGAAAAGAAAAGCGAGGAGGCGGGGTAGCATTTTATATCAAAAACGATTTGCATTTCGAAACTGTGACAGAGTTTTCAGTCGTAAACCCACACTACGAATCCCTCATGATGAAGTGCTACCATACTGCAATTGTGGTAATTTATAGGCCGCCCTCTGGTGCCATAGATGCCTTTTTTAACTTTTTAGAACGTATGTTGAATTTTTGTTCCGAACTCGGTCTGACTATTGTTACGACGGGTGACTTCAACATCAATATGCTGTCTCTAGAACGCAACAAACAAGTTCTTCTTGATCTATTTCTCTCTTACGGCCTAGAAAATGTAATTGATGTACCGACAAGAGTAACAGATGTCTCCGAAACTCTAATTGATCTATGCTTTATCCCACAAACGAATGTCATAGAAGCAGGTGTCTTGATATCTGATGTCAGTGATCACATGCCAATTTTTGTTTTCTTCAACCCTCATTCAAAAACACATAGAATGCGTGCCAATAAAGCTTTTAAACTTAGAAAGATTAACAAAAGCAATGTTGTTGCTTTTCAAACGGCTGTTAGTGAAACCTCATGGTCTTATCTGTATCAGTTAACGGATCCTGTCATTGCTTACAATTATTTTATCAATCACCTTAAAAAACTTTATGATGAAGCATTTCCTGTAACTACTATCAAACAAAACAAGAAATGTAGGAAACCTTGGATTACCACGGTGCTTCTAAGGAGAATGAAGGAACGAGACAGACTTTTTAGTCAATTCATTAAAACTAGACAACCTAATCTCCTAACTGTTTATAAGAAAATTAGAAACAAACTAGGGCGTGATATCAAAGAAGCAAGAAATTGTTATTACGAAAGAAAGTTCGAAACCATTCTAAATGACCCCAAACGTGTGTGGCAAACATTAAAAGGCCTACTGCCGCAAAAAGAGCCACTCAGCGTCTCTGAAATTGTAGACAGCGATATAACTTATACCGGTATATCTTTGGCTAATAAGTTTAATGAACACTTTTTAAAATGTGGAGCATCGGTAAGTGATAACTGTGACAGGCATAATTACAGGTCATACATTATGCATAACTCCTTGAAGTCTCTTTTCATGGAGCCAACAACAGAACATGAAATTAAATCCCAAATACTAAAGTTAAAGAATGCATCCGCATGTGGCCAGGACGAGATAAAAGCCGAGCCGATAAAAGCAGTTGTCAACAGTATCAGCAATCCTTTATCGCACATATGCAACCTCATTTTGGCTACAGGCGTGTTCCCTGATAAACTAAAAATCGCTAGAGTAACAGTTATATTTAAGGGAGGCGATAGAAATGACATGAACAACTACAGACCAATCTCGGTACTACCACTGTTTTCAAAAGTTTTCGAACAAATGATTAATGTAAGAATTATGAATTTCTGCACTAAAAATGATGTACTTACAGGCAATCAATACGGCTTTCAGAAAAGAAGTCAA